GGGGGGGGGGGTGAGAATTTAATTTGTTGGGGTTTTTTAATTAAGAAATCCCCCCACCTGGAGAAACTCAGTAGAAGATGAAGGAAGCATGCACTGTATACAAAATGAATGATTGAATCCAAGAAATAAATTCAGAACTATTACAAGACAGGTTTTAAATAAACTACGTTTAAAAAAATGTAGATATTTATATACATTCAAACACAAGATAGTCTCTCCTCCCCTCCCCTGTCCCACCCCAGGACAGAGTACTAAAATAAACTTTAATTTGATCACCTTCTAAATGAGAAGGTGAAAATTCAATTATCTGCATAAAAACCCCCCACGTCTAAACCTTTCGTAGAGAAAGGCAATTAATTTACCCCACCAAAGGATGTGGAAAAGTGGAATTACAATATTGTAAATAGAAACATTTGATTTCCAGCCTCTCTACTGCAGATTTTTCCACCAGAAAGCCCATATGGCTCAACTTTTAATTACTTTGGCTAATGCTATATGTAGTAATTCTGTGGTGAATGCTCAAGTGTTTCATTTCTGGTTTCCATGGCAACATTACATCAGATTGCAGACAGCTGGCTCCACAGTTTTAAACCATAACAAAGTGACCAAGCCAAAGCACAAAACTATAGCTGCTTTAAAGAGATAGTACACCCCTGCCTGCCAGGGCGCTGAATGAGGAACCTAGGGGGCCGTTTGGCTTGCGAGGGAGGGTGGAGCCTCCTTCCTTCTCAGCTTCTTTTGGAACATGTGCATCTTGACACATCTGCAATGTTCTAATAGGAAAGACATGGAGCCAGCGTGGAGGACTTTTTATAACGCAGCTACATTAAAAGTGACCGGGGGGGAAAAAGGAATGCAATTAACAGCATCTGTTGATACAAACATTTCTGTACTGGCGCAAACGCAGTGTCCCCTCACTGTTTGACTTAAGCCTGTCATTGCAGGTCGGCAACAGATACTTCACTGGACCCTGAAACAACAATTCTTGCGACTCCGACGGGACAAACAAATGCTTTCCAAAAGCCGCATGGCACAGTGGTGCGGGCACAGGACAACGGGCTGTCATGTAGGTTAAACTGAACTTGCAAGGAGCAACTCGAACCCTCTGGGGATAGCTTGAGACCACGCTGAGCACAGAATTACAACTGAGCCTTCCGAAGAAACACACTCAGCTGGCTTCTCCAGCTCCAAACACCCCTCGCGGAGTCTCAATTAACAGCCACACTAAGTCGACTTATCTCCCCCCGGAGCCAGCACATAACACTGTAAGATACGTAGGCATTTCTGAAAAGCATTCTGCAACAGGAAATGTATTCGCCTGTAACATTCACACGGCCATTCCCGGTTAACCCAGCGCGGAAGCAGACACAGCCGCTTCAACTCCTAGGTCGGCTTTATCAATGGCATTAACCTTCCAGTTAAGAGAGGGCAGCGGATGGGTGGCGGCTTTATGAAAAGCGATGTGCAACGCCGTCTGAAGTCCAGTCCTCCCCAACGGGCGACTGGGCTCCAACCCCTGTGCACTCAACCCCTCGCATTCTCACTGCAGTCTCAACATAATATTCACTTTTCTCCTCCAAAAGAGATGCCTTATTTTGGGGTGAGCAGGCTAGGAAAGAATGCTCGAAGTTAGGAGGTAGGGAAGTAAACAAGGAAAGAACAAATCTAGAGAAATTTGAAAGGAAAAGAGAAAAGCATCATAGCCGGGTACAATCCGAGAGCCATCCAGGACTTTCCCCTGAAGTGACAGAAAGCGCATTCTCCCGTGTGCACGAACCATACCCAGCGAACTTACCGGCTTCGGCATTGAGCAGGCCTAAGGGGCAATTCTGAGCACGTCCGGCACCCCCACCCCCTCCTCCCCACTCTGAGAGCCGCTTCACTCTTGTTCCGTCAACTCTGATCTCAAAGCGAGGATTAGGCAACTCTGGAACACGCTCCTTTGGAGTGACATGATCAGACAGGCTCCACCGGCACAGTTAAGGATCCGAAGGGGAAGAAAAAAAAAGCGAGGACACTGGATTCAATTAGCCGCTTTTTGCTTGCCGAGTCCCCAGTTCCTTGCTAACTGCATAACTTGTAAGAAAGGCATAAGTCATCGGCTCTAAGCAAATCTTCTATTCACCACAAGGGAAAAAGGGAGTGTTGTACGTGGCAAACAATCCCTGTTTTCACTGACGAAGGCGCCCTGACCTCCCGCTGGCCTCCGGTTCCTTAATTACTGTCTATGGAATTCCAGAGCAAGAAAAAAGCATGCGAGAATCTGAGCAAATCCGGACACGGACCAACCCGGACAAGTGACTGGACTCAAAAAGATCTCTTTTGCAGATATTCTCAACAGCCCCCAAGGGGAGTAGTCGCGATTGAAAATAGACACCTTCCAACGGCTATTTTTGAAATTACGGAATTAAAACTTATGATTTTGGTT